TAATCCAACATCACCCCAATCTCAGTGTAAACTAGTCTCCAAATGTGCCTGCACAAGACTGTCACCCCTGTCACCCGGCATTCACATTGCCTTAACCTCCTCAAGCTTGTCGGGGTGTGACACGTGGGCATGAACCTTGTGACAATGGGCATTGTCACAAAGAAACTGGTACAATCAGAAATGCATTTTTGCTCATGCCAGGTTACCGACATCGGTTACCGATTACTGGGGACGGTTAACGGATAACGGTTCGCCCGGTAATCCTACCGACCGGTTACCCATCTCGTTAACTGGACCCGTTAGGTCGGAACCGGGCCGGAACCGGCCTGGAGTATGCCATTGGGCTTATGTCACCTTTCTTCATCGTAGGCAGAGCTTTGGTGGATGATGCCGTCTGCAGCTCCCGTTTCTCGCTTCTGTACACATGCCTGCTGAAGCAAGTTTACCATATGGGGTTGCAACCCCCTCATTTGAGTCCTGCAGATCATGCAAGCAAGCAGTTGCAATGTCTAGCACGCAAGCCCAATTTTACTACTTCTCATGAGACAACATCATACTTTGGGTTGTTGCTTGGGTTTGGTGCTGCCCAGGTGTGCAGCCATGGCATGAGGAGCGTGGTCGCGATGGTGAAGTCCTTTGTTGCCAAGTTGCCATAGAACTCGGCAAAGTCGTCATATTCCATTCCACTGATGGCCAGGAATTCCTCAAACGCTTTGGTGGCCTTATCACCAGCAGCACTGCAAACATTGCTGGCCACGTTTAAAATGTACCGCTCATCTAATGAACAAGTGCAATGGCTGATGATGCCACTCACTTGTCATTCGTTGGCTGCATCATAGCTGCAGCTGGACCTCGTGCATCCTGCGCCTATTGTCCGACGGCTGCGTGGGCTGCATCCCAAATCCACTCACAAAATCATCATTGGCTTCCATTGTGATATACCTCTTAAGCATCTTTAGAGATTTGACCTATGAGGCTTATCAACACTTAAGCAGTGCCGTGCGGCACTTCGTGATCTGGATGGACAGAACCGCATGCTGCATCCAAGCAATGACCCGCCATTGGATGACAACTTGATTTTTCAGAAGGAATGGAAGGTGGCGAAAGCGCGGACCTTGGGGAAGGGTGAAAGGTGAGTTCATTTGAAGGGGGGTGAACACATTTGTGTGGTACGAGTGAGGTTTTGGGCCCTCCTTTTTTTGCATTCATATGCCCTTCTTAGTTCATCACTAAGCACCGTACATCTGGGTGTGGACTGCTGCTGCTGCACTGTTACCATTGCTGTAGGCCACGTGGCGACCCCATGGCTAACACTGGTAACGACACGTACTTGCCAGAGGACTTCTCCAGGCTCTGCAGGTTCATGGCCGACACGGGCAGCGCATCGAGTAAGCTCAAGTGGAGCTTGGCTCAGGTGGCCCTCGTGCAGGTTACCATCCTCCTCCTGCACTTCTGCGTCGGGCGGCATAATGATGCGCGTATCATGCACACGTGCGACATTGGTCGCCCCACAAAGCTGCCAGGCGTCAGGCCCTGCGATGCATATGCAACCTGTATGGTTTTGTATGGCGGAAAGACGCAGCAGGTAAGCATAACCATCCCAACTTTAAAATCTTTTTGAACTGTAACACTGTGAACCATGACATATGTGTAGGGTGGTCGTGCCGTACATGCTTCCATCCTGCGTGGAGCAAATGCTGTGGAGTGTCCCATACGTGCGCTGGTGGAGTACCTTTACGCCATGTACACCCTGGGTGGCGAGGAGTACCCTGACCCACTAAAAGAGGAGGACTGGTAAGTAGGAATGGTATGCAATGCATGAGGACTCCCTGGGGCTTAAATACGCATTTAAATCGTTGCAGGTATGAGACACCACTGCTGCGCATGCCTGGCGACCGTCGGAACACTGTACCATACGAGTCTGTCTTGCAATGGGTCACCGTCCTGTTCAGTGCCATTGGGCTGTGGACGACTAAGAAGCTTCATGCGATGCGGGTTGCACCTGCCCGGATCCTTGATGCCTATGGGTACGTTGGCCGCTGCCAGCTATGATTTTGCACATCCTTGGTCTAATGTTCTCTCTTTCGGTTCAGGATATCACTGGACAGTATCAAGCGTATTGGTCGCTGGAATAGGGAGCCAGCTGTCTCGTCATACCTTGTGAGCCAGCCCACAGACGGATTGCTCACACTTGCGGGCTTTCCTTGCACCGCCCCAAACACCCCGGCCACAGCACACTGGGCACCCCGTTTCATGGTTCAGATACCTGAGGAAGTGCTGTCCGTCTGCGTACTCGAGCTGTTTCCCTTCCTGACGAAGCTCAGGCCAGCGGTTGCAGAAGTTCAGACGCGCCAGGCCACAGGGTGCAATGCTCGCTTGTCTGTGCCGTACCACTTGCAGTTCCTGGAGTTTGCAGCTCGGTGTGCAGTCCAGGACGCATTGGAGCTTGCAAACACCTGCCCTAACAACCTTTTAGTCCTCTGCTTACAGAAGAATCCAATGTGGCAGCAGGTCTACTCCCGCTACAGGCACGCTCTTGCTAATGGGGTAAGTGCATCGGCCCTTGCTTGGTAAATGGTGGGATCGTAGTCTTCACCAATATTGGGGCTTTCCTTTTGCAGGAAATTGCGGCCACAAAACCCCCCATCGCCATAGACCTACTTGGGGGGATTCAGAGGCAGTTGGTAACCTTACAGCAGACAGTTAATGGGCAGCAGGGGGCCAGCGCCGCGGCCAGGGAGGTGCGCCAGCCCGCGGGGGCGCAGGTCCTCCCCTTAGGTGCGCACGGCGAGCGCGTGGATCTGCAGCTGGGCCCCGAACTGGACTACGATGGGCAGCAGGGGTTCGGCGCCGCGGCCAGGGGGGTGCGCCAGCCCGCGGCGGTGCAGGTCCTCCCCTTAGGTGCACACGGTGCACGCCTGGATCTGCAGCTGGGCCCTGAACTGGACTACGATGGGCAGCAGAGGTTCAGCGCCGCGGCCAGGGGGGTGCGCCAGCCCGCGGCGGCGCAGGTCCTCCCCTTAGGTGCACACGGCGCGCGCCTGGATCTGCAGCTGGGCCCTGAACTGGACTACAATGGGCAGCAGAGGTTCGGCGCCGCGGCCAGGGGGGTGCGCCAGCCCGCGGCGGCGCAGGTCCTCCCCTTAGGTGCACACGGCGCGCGCCTGGATCTGCAGCTGGGCCCTGAACTGGACTACAATGGGCAGCAGAGGTTCGGCGCCGCGGCCAGGGGGGTGCGCCAGCCCGCGGCGGCGCAGGTCCTCCCCTTAGGTGCGCAATCGGGTCTGCAGCTGGCATACAGTGGGCGGCAGGAGGTCGGCGCCACGGCCAGGGACCTTCTCCAGCCGCTGTCTACGACTAGTAAGAAGCGCAAGCGGGAGAAGGATGAGCTACGCGAGCAGGTTGATGAGCTTAAGCATTTGCCACCAGGGCACAGGCCATGGCCAGATCTTTCAGATATCCAGGTCCTATTTCAGATCTTCACCTATGGCCGCCCTGGTGCCTATCCATCTCTGCTCCAGCTTGAGGAGAAGTACCAGTCGAAGTGGCGGCAGGGATACAAGCAGCGCTGGCAGGAGATTAGGTACTTATATGACAAATGCATCGTGTGGACCGCTTCACAGCGTCGTTGCACGGTGGTCCAGGCTGCACAGTTCTGGCTTGCTGTGCAGCAGAGGAAGCAGCTTAGCCTGGACCAGCTCCGACAATATGTGAAAGAGCAAGAGCTTCGGGGCGAGCTGGAGGCTATTGTCACCCCTGTGCGCCCTGAGATGTACAAATCTCCTGTAAAGGCAGCACAAAAGGTGACTCTCCGAAGAGTTCTGGCTAGCGGGGCGGGGGAGGCGGCAGCTGCAGTGCATACAGGCGGAACAGGCAGCGGGGCTGGGGAGGCGGCAGCTGCGGTGCAGACAGGTGGAACGGGCAGCGGGGCGGGGGAGGCGGCAGCTGCGGTGCAGACAGGCAGAACGGGCAGCGGGGCGGGGGAGGCGGCAGCTGCGGTGCAGACAGGCGGAACGGGCAGCGGGGCTGGGGAGGCGGCAGCTGCAGTGCAGACAGGTGGAACGGGCAGCGGGGCTGGGGAGGCGGCAGCTGCAGTGCAGACAGGCGGAACGGGCAGCGGGGCGGGGGAGGCGGCAGCTGCGGTGCAGACAGGCGGAACGGGCAGCAGGGCTGGGGAGGCTGGGCGACATAAGAAGCAGCGTGCTAATGGTGGTGCTTCTAGATCCAATTGCGGCAAGGGTGCGCAGGTTCCCAATGCTTACATGCTGTTCTGCAAGGAGCAGCATGAGTTGGCAACTTCTGAGGGCACCACCATTCATGTGAAGTATGGGGTGCCATCGGCAGGGGTCTCCAGCCTGCTGGGCAAACTGTGGTCGGACTTGCCCCTGGCGGAGAAAAGTGCATACAGTGAGAAGCATGCCGCGCTTAAGGCGGCTAAGGACAGCTTCGATACCTGAGGCCAGACCCTTGCCCTTCTGTGGTGTAACCGTTGCTTGTAATCAACCAGAGTCACCTGTCAGTGAATTCCCAGGACAGCTACGATACCTAAGGCCAGACCCTTGCCCTTCTGTGGTGTAACCGTTGCTTGTAATCAACCAGAGTCACCTGTCAGTGAATTTCCAGGACAGCTTCGATACCTAAGGCCAGACCCTTGCCCTTCTGTGGTGTAACCGTTGCTTGTAATCAACCAGAGTCACCTGTCAGTGAATTCCCAGGACAGCTTCGATACCTAAGGCCAGACCCTTGCCCATTCATGTGAAGTATGGGGTGCCATGTATGCCAAGTATGGGGTGCCATCGGCAGGCGTCTCCAGCCTGCTGGGCAAACTGTGGTCGGAGTTGCCCCTGGCGGAGAAAAGTGCATACAGTGAGAAGCATGCCGCGCTTAAGGCGGCTAAGGACAGCTTCGATACCTGAGGCCAGACCCTTGCCCTTCTGTGGTGTAACCGTTGCTTGTAATCAACCAGAGTCACCTGTCAGTGAATTCCCAGGACAGCTACGATACCTTAGGCCAGACCCTTGCCCTTCTGTTGCACAATGTGTCAGCAATCATGCTTGGTGCGGTCGGGAGATTAGGTAACGTGGGGCTGACAGCTGGGTGGGGAGAAATCCGGGGTGACGTGCTGGGTGCGGGTTCCGTGGTGGAAGGACCAGCGCCGGGTACACGGATCAAGTTCATCGAACAACCTAACCTGTCAGCCGACAGACTTGGTGTCGTATCCAAAAGCCTAAACACACCATTCTGCCCGACTACTGCAACCCCAACGTCGGCAAGCATGCAAAAGGTCCTGATTCCTCAGCACTAGCTTCCACCGTCGCACGCTAGACCGGTTCGCGAGCAGCCCACACCGTCGGCGCTGCAGCTGCCCACAACAGACTTCCATACCCCGTCGGCGTCGGCGCTGAAGCCACCCGCATCAGACCGGCATGCCCCGTCGGCACCAAAGCCGCAGGCAGAACTTCATCGTTTTCATCATTAATTTCAGGTCTTAGGTGTTATCATTACCAAAATTAAATCGAACTTCATTGCTACTTGAGGTCTTAGGTGTTACGGACTGTGAGGGTGTTCCACTTCCAACTTCAATTTAAAGGAAACAGAAAATATTAATTTGCTCATTTCATTTTTCATTTGCGCGTACATGTGTGTGTGTCTCCATGTGTCTCAAAGCAACCCAAACATAGCGAAGACCGGTCGCGCGCGTCGGCCTGACAGCTCCAAACGCTGGCAATGGTCATACTTTGTCACTAGGACATGATTGGGGGCGTCGAGCAGCACCTTTTCGGTCCAAATTCGGCGGGTCCGGTTCCGGTCCAGTGGCCGGTCGCAAAGGCTGTCGTACCCGGTCCGGCCGGCGGGTCTAACCATAGTTAGAGAGTAGGGTCGGGCTGGAGCCAACTATAGCACAGCCAGAGACTCTTGATCCTGAGTAAGGTAATTTATTACAAAGACGATAACACCTGTTAGTTTGATGCTGCAATGAGTGGCAATGCACAATGAGACAGGTACAGATCCTGCCTGTGGGTCCGCTGTACTGCCAAGAGATTGGCTGGCGCTAATGAAAGGCACCACCGGCGAATATATTTGAGGTGGAACCATTCTGTTTATTCATGCAAGCAGCTAACCGCGGTCTATGTGAGCGAGGTAGTTCGACTGTGCAAGCATGGCAGTCCAGCAGCCAAGCTGGCTAAGTCGTATTCATTTCTTTAACTTTATGTCCTTGTATATTTTGCATTTTTGTGTTATGTTGTGTTCAGTGTTCATTTCTTCTCTTCCGTCAGCGGTTGCTCCAGATCCGTGGTCAAGGTTGGATATTACTTGTGCTGGGCTAAGTAGCATCAAGTTCAAGTCCTTTCCAGACTGCTTATGCACGGCATACAGTCGCTTGACTACTTTCGCTGTACATTCGAAAATGGGAAGTCCATTTGCTTCCAGAGTGGATTTCCACGTTTAAATTGTCTTGATTCCTACAAAATTAGGATAATGGCTTCTTATGACTGGATAGTTCGATGTAAACAGCTTTCTCCGGCTCCCTAAGGGAGTGCCATGCTCTTTCCGGTCCACTATGAAGGGTCGAACTTCACGTGGCTATACATTCAAAATTGAAAAGTCCATTTGTTTTCGTTGGGAGCTTGTGTTACTAGGAGCATGAGAGCCTGGGGGCCTGGGAGCCTGAGGGCCTGGGAGCCTGGGGGGCCTGGGAGCCTGGGGGCCTGGGAGCTTGGGGGCCTGGGAGCTTGTTAGCTGGGGGTCTGGGAGCTTGGGAGGTTGTTAGGCTGGGGGCCTAGGAGCTTGGGGGCCTAGGAGCTTGGGGGCCTGGGAGCCTGGTACCTGGGAGCCTGGGAGCCTGGGGGCCTGGGAGCTTGGGAGCTTGTTAGGCTGGGGGCCTGGGAGCTTGGGAGCTTGTTAGGCTGGGGTCCTGGGAGCCTGGGAGTTTGGGAACCTGGAAGCCTGGGAGCCTGGGGGCCTGGGAGCCTGGGGGACTAGGAGCTTGGGGGCCTG